AGAGAGATGCAAATGAAAACAACGAGATAACACCTCACCACAGTAAGAATAGCAAAATTCAACAAAGCAGCAAACAACAAATGCTGGTGAGGTTGTGAAGAAACTGGAACTCTTATTCACTGTTTTTGGGAGTGTAAAATGGTGCAACCACTATGAAAGGCAGCATGGTACTTTCTCAGAAAAATGGAAATAGAAATACCATTTGACCTAGCAATTCCACTACTGGGAATATATCCTAAAAAACCAGAACTGTCACCCAAGCAGATCAATACACACTTATGTTTACTGCTGCTTTGTTCACAATAGCAAAGAATTGGAAACAACCCAAGTGCCCACCAACAAACTAGTGGAGAGAGAAACTGTGGTATATTCATTCAATGGAATACTACACAGCACTGAAAAACAAGGAACTCATGAAATATACAAAAAGTGTGACCCTGAAGGACATTATGTTGAGTGAAATATCTCAATCACAAAATAATGTCACTGTTATAAAACAGGACTGACATAGGATTTGGAGGAAAACTAAGAAAAGAGGATATAAATAATATACACTGCAATGCAACAGATGACGGAAAGAATTGTTTAAAAGGAATATATAATTAGGTATTATTTCATGACAACAGTCCAGAACAAGAGGTGCATAGGAAAGTGGACTGGGCGGGTGGTGGTGGTGGTGGAGGAAACTGTGCAACAATGAAAAAAAATTTTTAAAGAGAAAAGTGAACAGGGGGGTTAGGAAGGAAGATGTGCAACAATGAAAGAATGGAAATAGCAGTTCTCAGCAAACTTTCATTAAAATATCAATACAAAAATTAACCCCAATAAACAAAATAACCCCAAAATATCTTTGACTATTTAAATAGGAAAAAACTCCACAATAGTGCAGACACCCAAACCACTCCTAATTATTCTGACTCTTTCTGACCCTATAAACTTAAACTCACAGCTGCAGGGTGAATTTTGACTCATAGCACCGCTCTAACAGATTTTAGAGAGTATATATATAAATGTTGTTGTTGATTGCCTTCGAGCCCATGAATAAAAGGTCTGAAGCTCCTTTACAACCACTGACATTTATCAAAGTTTGTAGAGTTTCTGGAGGCATGTTATTAAGGAAGTGGACGCCACTCCTGCTTCTAAGTAAATCCTTATAGGAGACTCTATTTTTCTTCCACAGAGTTGTGGGTCAAACCATCAAGCATATAGGCCTTTTGGTCAACAGCAAAATACACTATGGACTATGCTACCAGAACCCAGTCACCCTGTGAACTAATTCAAAGTCATCTCATCAAGTTGGTTCTAGCCCATAGCTATCCTCATGGGTTTTCTGAGGTTGGCAATTGCAAGAAAGGGACAGCTCATCTTTCTGCGGAACTGATGGAGGATCAAATCATGGAGATTCACAGCCTTTGGATCAGCAATATAACTCCCCGTGGATTACACCACCAAAGCTTCCTATGACCTGACAGGACAGAGAAAACAGCCTAATAGGGTTTCCAAAGATGTAACCCATAGGAAAGCTGAATGCATCACGCTTTTCCTTCAGAATTAGGTTAGTGGGTTCAAACCCTTGCCTTTTTGGTTAACAGCTCATCATTTAACCACTGGACCAGTAGGGCCATATAATACGGTTATCATAAGGACAGAAAAAAAAAAGATGCCAGAACAGACTCTGAAACTTGTACCACAAAGGAAGGATTTTTTTAAAAAAAGAGTTATAGAAAAGATTTTAAAGTGCAGCTTGTCAAGAAAAAGCAAATTATTATACTGAAATCTGCAAAGAACAGAATAAAAGTTAGAAAACCAAAAGGGAAGGAGACTTTCAAGCTGAAAGAACTGAAGAAGAAATTCAAGACTCAAGTTGTTATACCGGAAGATTCTAGAGGCAAAATCTTTGATGATACAGGAAACATTTAAAAAAACAAAACAAAACACAGAGTCACTGTACCAACAAAAAAAGGCTGGTAATGAACCTTTTCAGGAAGTAGCATATGATGAAGAACCAATGGTAATGAAGGGAGAAATTAAATCTGCACTGAAAGCACTGGGAAAAATAACTCCAGGAATTGATGGAATAACACTGACATGTTCAACAAATAGATGCAGCCCTGGACTTACTAGTCTATGTCAAGAAATTTGGATGACAGATCCTTGGCCAACTGACTGGAAGAGATTAATATTTGTTCCCTCTCCTTTTTTTTTTTTTAAAAGAAAGTGCTCAAGAATGCAAAAAATTATCAAATAACATGAATGCCACATGTCAAGTAAAATCTTGGAGATGATTGAAACATAGCGGAAATAGTATATCGAATCTCCAGAAATTCAAGCTGGATTCAGGAGAAGCCAAGGGACAAATTATAGAACTGCAGATGTGAGAGGGTTCTTGGATGATGGCAGAGAATAGCAGAAAGAGGTTGACTAAAGTTTTACTGACTATGAAAAATAATTTGACTGTGTGCATAACAAACTCTGGCTAACATTGAGAAGGATGGCAATGTCAGAACATTTAATTGTGCTCATGTGAGATCTAAACACAAACCAAGCAGCAGTCATCCAAAAAGAACAAGGGAACAATGTATGGTTTAAAATCAGGAAATGTATGAATCTAAAAGTTGGACAACAACTAGAATGACTGAAGAAAAACAAATGCATTTGAATAGTGGTGTTGAACAAAACTATAAATATACAATGGACTGTCAAAATAGTAAACAAATCTGTCTTGGAAGAATTGCAATCAGTGCTCCATTTAGAGGTAAGGGTGGCCTCATAGGCCCTGAAAAAATGTAACATGCTAGCCAAAGTAGAGAGGATCAGCAAAAGACAGGAACACCCTTACCTCAAGGAGATGTACTGACACAGTGACTATAAAATATAACAGTGTACTTGAAATATGGTAGAGTTAGGGGAAGATGGTACAAAATCTAATAAGGTTCTGATCTGCTTTTCATAGGTTGGCTATGAGTCACAGCTGACTTGGTAATACTAACAAACTGCCAAAGTTTTATATCATTCAAAATTGATAACTGAAATAATTCCATCTGAAATGGTAGTACCACTGTGTTACATAATAGGAAATGCTAGATATTAAAACATTTATTTCTTTTATAGAGGAAAATAAACAAGTCCTTTCTATTATAATGTCTCAATTATCGGTCAGGATTATTGATTATTCATAATTCTTTGGGAAACAGAATATTAAAATCCCTGGTCGAATCAAAGTTATTTAACTTGCTAGAAATTTGATTTGGAAGAACTAGTGTTAAAAATACAAACAATACTTTGTTACAGGTATTTTTTTAATGGTTCATTCTTTTGAATTCTTTCCTTTTTTAGGAGGGGTAGACAGGTCTGGAAGCAGGAGTGGCATCCACTTCCTAAACAACAGGCCTCTGGAAACTCTATAAATGTCAGTAGTTGTAGAGGGGCTCCAGGCCTTTTATTCATAGGGTTGCTATGAGTCGTGTTTCACTTGAAGGCAATCAACAAGAACAACAAAAGATGTAGATATGTTTGTAAAAAGGGATATAAATCAGATTATAGAAGGTGATGATTGATAGTTGATGACAGGCTGAGAAGCTGGGTTTAATTCTATATATTCTGAGTCTTGAAGAGTTCTTGAAAAGAACAATAAAATATCATTTATGTTTTTATTGTTGCTATGTACCACTGAGTTGGCTACAACTCACAGTGACACTATGTAAAACAGCTCTGAAGCCTGCCCTGTACCTACCCCCACTGCCTCAGTCACTCTATCAATACGCCTCATCTGAGGTCTTCCTCTCCTGCACTGTCCCTCCACCCTTTCGAACATGATGATCCCCCCCAAGGACCAGTCCCTCCTGGCCATGTGCTCAAAGTATGTGAAACTGAGTTTCAAAATCCTAGCCTCCAAAGAGCAGCCTTGGTTCTACCTTTCCAGGACAGACCTGTTTGTTCTTTTGGCAGTCCATGGTACGTTCAGCTTGATTTTTCATGGCATATCAATAGCTGCTTGTTACCTTCAGGGCCATGCTTCGTCAAAAAAATCACTTATATAACCCTTGGGTGATAGTACATCTTCGCATTCCCTTTGCCTCATTCTCCTGAACTTAAATTCTCAGCATATGTAGCACATCTCATATACTGCAACATTTTTATATACTCTATCACTTGATTTCTTTTTTTTACACAAAATAATGTTAACACTCCATATAGTTATGAAGCAAAATTTTAAGAGTATATGATACAGTGTCAGTGATACAACAGTGGTGGCCTAGTGGCAAGAAGTTGCGCTGTAATCCTGAAGGCACATGGTTCAAGGTCACCAGCTGTTCCACGGGAGAAAGATGGGCAACCCACCAGAGGGTCAGCTCCGGGTCGGTTCTGACTCTACTGTACACAACAACAACACTGATATGCTAGGGGCAGAAAGAGACAGTTTGAGCTAGTAGATCAGGATAACTGACATAGTTTAAAAACATAGTTTAAAAAAAAGGTATAGTAAATATTTTATGTTTGAGAGTAATATGGCCCCTGTCTTCCTGAAGTCTGTCATTAACAGTGGAACTGCAGATCTGAAAACAAAGAGGCATAGAAGTATTCCAATGAAGAGTTATTGAGAAAATAGGTAGTCAGGCCACAGTTTGCTGTGTGCTCTTGAACAATGTTTTTCAAAACTTTAATGTACAAATAAATCACCTGGTAACAGAGTAGATTTGGGACAGGGAGAATATATTTCCAATAAGTTCCAGAGAATAAAGAAAATTATAAGTACTTATTGAAAAGAAATACTTCTCTTGGAACCATTTAGTTCTAAAAGTCAAATATTTTAGTGAATTTAAAGGACAGATACAAGGTACTCCCAGGAAGACTAAAGTGTTCATTGAGATGAAAAAAAAAACCAAACCAATAAAATTTGTGTTTTAAAATAACAAAACTAGTTTCTTTAGAAACTCTATTAATATTTACAAGCCTCAATACAATAAAAGCAGCTTTGAAATGATGTTTCAATATAATACCTTATTTCCTTGATAGTTAAATCTCATTCTGGTAACTCTTGAATTGCCTCCAGATCGAAAACACGTTATCTGTTGAGAATGGCCCCATTCAAACATTCTGACACTTCCATCTTGAGCTCCTGTCAGATCTGCATTGCAGGAGGGAAAAATTTGCAAATTCACTTCAACCATTTTTTTATTTTTTAATGGAATAAATATTCCCTAAAAAGACTGATGGTTTATCAATTCATCTTTGTGTGAAATTCCACTTGTATATGTACTTTCATTTCAATAAAAACAAGAAATATTTAAATGGAAGTATTCAAATCAGATAAATTGCACTGATCTTTAAAATTCTCAGTGGTATTTTAACAGCCTTTAATAGTGTTTATGATAATTACTTACTATAACAAATTCTTAGGATTGATAAAGAACCAATTTTTATCAGTAAGGGTATTAATACTTAAATTTTTCTTTTAAAAAAGTACTGTATCACTTCCTATGGTCATCTTAGTTAATTTGATATCACAGATATATTGTATCTTACAGAACGGAATACGACAAGCTAAATAATTACACATTCTCCACTTTACCATTTACTAATTGTGTTATACTCTCTGAGCCCACTTTCTTATGTATAAAAGGAAAATAATGAGTTATAAGTCACTGGATAAATATGATAATTAACTGAGGTAATTTAAATGGAAATTATTTCATTTTTAAGATATGAGACACTTCCAGACTTCTAAGATGTGAGATAAAATACCTTATATTTTAGAAATAAGCTAACAAACATTCACATAAAATTATCAGTAAAACTGTAGCAAATGCATAGTGAGAAATGATACTCAAGTACATAAAGCATCTAATAAATAGCAAGCTATATATTATTGTTGTTGCTGTTATGTGCCATCAAGTTGCTTGCGACTCATAGCGACCCTATGTACAACAGCCCTAAATTCTGATCTGTCCTGTGCCAATCGGACTGTATCTGAAACACCCATCCCGATTACCCCAGTCACTGAATCAATCCACCTCATAGAGGGTCTGCCCCTCCTGCGCCGTCCCTCCACCCTACCAAGCATGATGTCCTTCTCCAAGGACCTGTACTTTCTTACAACATGTCCAAAGTATGTTAGATGGAGCCTCAGAATCCTTGCCTCCAAGGAGCCACCCGATTTAACCCTTTCCAGGATGAATCTGTTTGTTTTCGTAGCAGTGAATGGTACCCTCAATACTCTTCTCCAGCACCACAGCTCAAAGGCATCAATTCTCCTTCTATCCTCCTTAGTCATTGTCCAATTCTCTGATGCATAACAAGTGATAGCAAAGACCATGGCCTATATCAGACGCACCTTAGTCTCCAAAGAGACACCATTGATCTTCAGTACTTTGGAGAGGTCTCTAACAGAAGACTTTCCCATCGCAATATGTCTTTTAATTTCCTGGCTACTGGTGCCAAGAATGTTGACTGTGGAGCCAAGCAAACTAAAGCTATGAACAATCTCACCATCCATCCTGATGCTGACAATTGGTCCAGTGGTGAGAATCTTTGTCTTCTTGACATTGAGCCTCAATCTGTATTGGAGGCTGCAGTCCTTGACCCTCTGCAGCAAGCAGTTTCAGCAAGCAGGGTTGTGTTATCTGCATAACGCAGGTTGTTGACAGATCGTCCACCAATGTTGACCCTACATTTCTCCTCATGGAGCCCAGCCTCCTGGATAATCTGTTCTGCATACAGGTTGAAAAGGTATGGAGACAGGACACATCCCTGGCATATGCACTTCCCAATTTTAAACCATGCAGTGTTTCCGTGCTCTGTTATGACAACTGCCTCTTGGTCCAAGTATAGGTTTCTCATTAGCACGATCAAGTGTTCTGGAATTCCCATTCTTCTCAGAGTCAGCCACAATAATTTTCTTAATTATATCATACCAAGTATTTAAAAGAAATAGACTTAAGCAATCTAAATATGTGTTATTCTTATCTTTAGAGTAGAAAAGAGGAGAATTTCTTGAGACTGAGTTTGTTACCTTTCTTTTTCCCCTAGAACAGAGTTTATGAGCTTAATTTAAAAAAAATTGATCTAGTTATATTTAAAAACTATTCAACACTCTTGGTAACAGCAGCCAGGAAATCAGGACACAAAATGCATTGGGAAAGTCAGCTATGAGCGACCTCTCAAGAGTACTGAAGAGCAACGACGTCAGGCTGGAGATTAAGGTGCACCTGATCCAGGGTATAGTCTTCGCAATTACGTGCTATGCATTGGAGAGCTGGACAGTCAATGGGGATGATAGAAAGAGAATTGATGTCTTTGAGATGTGGTGCTGGAGAAGAGCGTTGAGTATACCATGGACTGCTAGGAGAGCAAACAGGTTTGTCCTGGAGAGGGTGAAGCCAGAATGCTCCTTGGAGTCAAGGATTCTGAAGCTTCGTTTGACATACTTTGGGCATGCTGCAAGGAGGGGAGTGGTCCTTGGAGAGGGACATCATGTTTTGGAGAGTGGAGGGACAGTGCAGGAGAGGAAGACTCTCAATGAGATGGATTGATTTTGTGATTGGAGTGGTGGGAATGAGTGTGTTTGAGATGGCGAGGTTGGCACAGGATAGAACTGCGTTTAGGGCTCTCATACATAGGGTCGCTATGAGTCACAAGCGACTCGATGGCACATAACAAGAACAAAGAACAATTTATCCTTTATTTATTTGAAGAAAATTCATAATTATTGATAGAGTAAAACTTGGGAGCACCAGATCTAAGGGGCTCTGCTCTGTTTTTCTGGATCTCAAGTTTCTAGCATTTGATAGGGTGTACCTTATTACTTTTCTGTTGTTTTTATTAGGGGAAATAATTTGTGTTTTCCTTCACTTACATATTTCTGCCTTACACAAGGTTCCAGTTTCTGCAAGTTCTACTGCAGCTGCCATGTAAAATGAAATAAACTTACAAAAAAAGATAAGGGTTCTGCTGGAAGAGCAGACGATGTTTAGTAGAGGATCAATGAAAAGCAAAAACCTTTAATAATGGACTGATAAAGTAACTGTACAAATGGATTTAAGCATACCAGTCCTGAATAAAGCATTAGAACTAGACAATGCTTCATTCTTTTTTATATGTCATCATCAACAAGTCAACTCTAAGCCAACTAATAACAAGAGTAACAATACCATAAAAAGTTGTTTGAACAAATACTCCTCATTGACAACTGAAGAATGTTAGATAACTAAAGGAACTGGAACCTTAAAGACTTTGATGTATTGATATTATTTTTAAAGAAGCACTTTATTTCTAAGATTTCCATTTCTAATTTAATCCTTTTACTTAATAGGTTATAAAACTTACATCCAGATAAAATAAGTGACTTGCCTATCAAAGACATGCATTTCAGTCTGGAACCTGATCTTCCTTTTACTCTATATGAAACATATTTTATATACAAAATAAGGTATAGTACTAATTCTTTTCTATTAGGCTAGGGCAAGGTTCAGATCTCTTGCTCACAGGGACACTATGAGGTTTAATTGTCTTGATGGCACTACAACATTAGATTGTGAATTCTCCAAGGCCCAAGTTGTGGTCATTTTCACTCACTAAACATGTTTAAATGTACCATGGACTGCCAAAAAAACAAACAGATTCATCCTAGAGAGGGTTAAACCAGGCTACTCCTTGGAGGCAAAGATTCTGGGGCTTCGTCTGACATACTCTGGACATGTTTCAAGGAGAGACAGGTCTTTGGAGAGGGACAACATGCTGGGTAGAGTAGAGGGACAACGCAGGAGGGGAAGACCCTCTATGAGGTGGATTGATTCAGTGACTCGGGTAATCGGGATGGGTGTGTAAGAGGCAATGCGATTGGCAAAGGATAGAGCAGGGTTTAGGGCTGTTGTACATAGGGTCGCTATGAGTCGCAAACGACTTGATGACACATAACAACAACAGCAAACATGTTTAGAATGTATTATATACTAATAGCAAGGTTAGTGGTTCAAATATAACAGCTGATCTGACAGAAGAGAGACAGAATATCTCCTTCCATTAAGATTTAAAGCGTCAGAGACAAATGCAAAGAAGAGGGCTGTACAGATACCAAATGAAATCTGTGCAGATATCAAATTTATAAAGAAAATGTACTTCTGCCTTAAAAAAACAAACAAACAAAAAAACCCCCAAAAACACAGCCTCACAAACCCGATGGAGGATCAGTAAGAATTCGAACTGATTCATCAGCAGGAGGATTGGTTTCTTGGTGGTACTTCATAATATTTTAAAAAGTTCTGTCTCTTAACGTTTCTACTATGCAAAAAGCATTTATTATTTATTTAAAAATTATGACTGAACACATGGTGGGATTTGTTCATGAAACAATTATTCTGAAGAAGAGGAAAAAAAAGACATGATATTTTACTTTCTCCAAGTCTGTTTACCAGTGTTCTCCGAACAGATAAAGTAGATCTAATGAAGACTTTTGAATAAACAGATCCAATGAAGACCTTTGAAAATAAATCTGTTAGTTAATTTTAAAATCAGTGCTCTCTTTATTTAAAGAAGATATTAACTACAAACTAGTTAACATCAAGATATATACTAACAGGCTGAGAAAAAACATGTTGCTGTTAGGCACTGTTAAGTACAAATGATAACAACATTAGGAAAAAGAGATCTGAACCCTGTCCCTTCCTGTGCCACCCTCATCATTTCTGACATACTTAAGCCCACTGCTAAAGTCATTGTTGTCAATCCATCTAGGAGGGTCTTATTCTTTTTTATTAACTCTCCACCTTTTCCTCGCATGATGTCCCTCTCCAAAGAATAGCCTCTCCTAGCAGCATGATGCCCTAAGTGTGTGAGATAATGCTTCGTCATTTTTCCCTTCGAGAAGCACTCTGGTTGCACCTTTTTTTTTTTTTT